GAGCCCACAAAACTAGGAGATCCCCCCCACCCCCAACTGGGGAATAGCAGCCGTACTCCACCCCCAAAGCAGCCATTTCCCCAAGGGAACTGATCTCTGTCATCTGAGATCAGTTGTAATTCTAGGAGATCACCAGGCCCTACCTACAGATCGGCAACCCTTGACTCACAAGCTGTACCAGAAGGTTCGAAGACTGTCATGACAATCACTCCTCATATTCAATGATGAAGGGATGAATTTCAAAAGGTCAGCGAGATCTGTGACCCTCTGAGATGAATGTAGCTCATCCACCATGCATTGCTGCTCGCTAGGAGCTGGTTTTCAGGCCCAATTTCCAAACGCCTAAGTAAGGAAAATGGATGCTGGGGACCCCAGACCCGACCTGTGAACTCCATCACATGTGTTACCACAGCCCTAGCCAACAGTCTGTTTGCAGGCTGCAAACAGGAAGCCAGTTTTTTGTTGATAAGTTTGGCTGTTTGTAAACAGTTTGAGCCTGCTTGTCCGGTTCCTTTTCCTGTATTCAAACAATAAAGTACACTACAGTCAATTGGCACATGCATGTTCTCCCACAGCCTGATGGAAGTCCCGCTTCTCTCCGCAACAGACCCATCGTCACTGCATGCAGCTCATCAGCCAGTGTAATACATAGTGAGCAAATCAATCACAGTATGTGCTAATAGATGCAATTCCTTTTTTAAAAGTCTTGTTTAGCTTCATTTAAGTCTGTATCATCAGCTTTATTTTGCGGGTGTGCATTTTTGCACAGCCTGATGGGAGTTGTAGTTCACCCCCCCCCCATTTCATGTTTGGTGGGTAGCCAGTTTGGTGTAGTGGTTAAGCGCACGGACTCTAATTGGGGAGAACCGGGTTTGATTCCCCACTCCTCCTCCACAAGCAGCTGCTGGTGTGGCCTTGGGTTAAGTCATACGTTCTTTCAGAACTGCTCTCTCAAGGGCAGTTCTCGAGAGAGCTCTCTCAGCCCCACCTACCTCACAGGGTGTCTGTTGTGGAGAGGGGAAGGGAAAGGAGATTTGTAAACTGCTCTGAGACTCCGAGCAAAGGGCGGGGTAGAAATCCAATCTCTTCTTCTTCTCTCTGTGTGATTCACTTGACCATCCACGATACTGGGGGGGAACCATCACCACCTCATCTGCTGCACAGATGCAGAAGACCCCCCCCCCCCAATGATGCAAAGACAGATTGGAGGTTTGGCTTTTGGATGACTGCCCCTGTCGAACACCGTATGATTGCCTGTTGGGTATACATATTCACCATGAAGTTTGCAACATCCCTCTGTACTTCCCTGATATATGGTTAGAACCTAGAAGAAATTTCAGGTTGAATTCAACCTAATGCCAACAAGAGCTTGTTTTAGAGTTTTGGCTGCGGCAATGATGAAAAATCACCTCCTCGCCACTATTGCGGAGCTGGGACTTGCTTCCTGCAGGTTCTGCTAACAACTTTATGGGCAGCCTGCCATGGCTTGTTAGAGAGGTGTTTTGCAGATAAAACTGCTCAGATCTGTTCTGCTCTGCATGCTCTGCATGCCGCTTGTTTTTATATTGATTTATGTACCCCATCTGATAACAGCTTTTATACCAACTCTGTGGGACTGACATAGGGATGCCAGCCTCCAGGTGGGACCTGGGGATCCCCCGAAATTACAGCTCATCTGCAGACTACAAAGAGCAGTTCCCCTGGAGAAAAGGGCTGCCTTGGAGGGTGGACTCTGTGGCATTATACCCCATTGTGGTCCCTGTCCTCCCCAGGCTCCATCCCCAAATCTCCAGGAGTTTCCCAACTTAGATCTAGCAAAGTTACACTCCCACCCCCCACTGACGGCGGGGGGGGGACGGACACCTGGCCACCCTAGGGGTTATTACCAGTAGTCCCTTTTGCTTGGATGAGTTCCAGTTGTTGCAAATCAGAAATGTGGACAAGGGTGGATGGAGAAAGTTGAACTATTTGCTTGACCCTTTCCCTTTGGAGCCGATTCTGTTCTCGCCATAGGGGAGTGATTACTTGACTCTGGAAGGCTGCAAGAGTTTCCTTCACAGATGAAAACCCACTCCTAGCCACATAAATTCTCCCTGGACTTTGGTGATTGTTTCAACCCACAGCAAGTCCCAAATCTCCTCTTCTGGGGCAAGATGTTTAAATGGGGAGGAGTCATCTCCAGGCACTTTTGGATAGGGCCAGGGGTCATTTCCTGCAGGAGTGCACAGGAGCGGAGCTCCGGCAGTAAAGAGCCCAGGGGGTGGGCACATGCAACAAGCCCCACCCCCTGCTCCCAGCAGCCCTTAGTCAGACCAAGAAGCAGCCAGGTAAGTTGTAGAGCCCCCCGGCCCAAAGCAGTCCACCTTTAAGACCAAGTTTTATTCAGGTACAAGCTCTCCCTCCTCTGTGAGGACAGATCTGCACGTTCTCCCCCCCCCAATAGCTACCAATCCAAAACAGTCCAGTAGAGCCTGAGTGGTGGGTGTTGCCTTCTGACACACTTCCGGTGATGTCAGGGTGTGTGGCATATGCAAATAAATTATGCTAATAGGTTATGCTAATGAGCTCCTGCACCTCTTTTTCTACGAAATGACCGCTGGATAGGGCCATTTGGCCTTTTTCAGTGCAGCTTCCGACACAGAAATTGTCTTTGTCACTCTGGTTGGTGATGGGGAGAGCCAGGAGGAATGCACCATCAGCTAATGCACTTGGATATTCTGGCCAGTTTCAGTACCCCTGGGTTTTGGCATCCTCATGGAGTACCTATCAGGGTAGGAGACATGGTGCGGCTGTGGTTCTACTCTCATCCAAGAGTTGATTTCAGAAGGGGTGCTGGGGACACCAGCATAATAGACGGGGGACAAAACTACAGAGCTCCATGGAATTCTGTTTTATTCTCTCGCCCTATTTAATATTTGTAGATCTTCTGCAGATATAGGATCAGGTGTGTTGGCTAAGTGATTCACACAACAGAGGTGCACAGCATTATCAAAGTGCAGAAATGTAGATAAAGCTTTATTCCGGCGTTGACATACTTTAAAAATATTATTTTAACAAACAAAATTAATTTAGCATTGAACATTAAGCCAGTATCAGTAGTAATGTACCATATACAGTGTTAGAGGTGCACAGCATTATCAAAGTGCAGAAGTGTAGATAAAGCTTTATTCCGGCGTTAACATACTTTAAAAAAGGTTATTTTAACAAACAAAATTAATATAACATTTAACATTAAGCCAGTATCAGTAATAATGTACCATATACAGTGTAAACATACTTGATAGTAAAGAGCAGAGGTAGACATATAGGATCCTAGCTACATCACTAGCTGAGAGAGAGAGAGAGAGAGAGAGAGAGAGAGAGAGAGAGAGAGAGTGTTGTGAAACTTCTGAGAAGAAGCGGGATATTGCTGTAAGAGTAGCAGTCTGGAGACAGACAAGGAATGAGAGTTTTCAGAAAATTAGGTGCTGACCTCACTATCCTATCTAATTGGCCTTTCCTCTTGCTGCCCCCTGCATGGTCGTCTTCTCTTTTTGTACACCAGACATAGCTTATTCCAACAAGTTGATCATCAGCATGGTGGGGACACCCAGCTCCATTTCTCCTTTTCTTCAGTCAGATGGTGAGCAATGTTCCCTATAAGCTGTGGGGTCTTGTGAGCAAAAATTCTACTTTGTGAGCTACTGGCATTAAAGCTGTGAGCGAGTGAGTTGGTTACTGCATAAATCAGTTTGCTCTGGAGCCATCCGTCCTGAGCTAAGACAGAAATGTGTGAGCCGGAGGCTAAAAAACTATGAGCTAGCTCACACTAACTCAGCTTAGAGGGAACACTGAGTGAGGTAGGTGTTCTGAACAGACATCTGGAGGCATCCGGCTGATGATTAATGAACTAAAACTCAATCCGGACAAGATAGAGGAACTGTAGTCGGGAGTTCTACTTACCAGTGAAGTCACCAAAGCTGGGTGGGGTTACATAGCTAGTTTGTAAGATGCTTAAATGTGCCAGGGCTCTCCAGTGTCTCTCCTTCTTGGTCTTGCTTTTCTCTCAAACTCATCGTTCACTAAGGATCCCCACACAGCCTGAGTCAAGGGCGCATGTGACATCTCACATGGAAACCACGCTCCTTGCTTCCATGCCCAGGAGGGTGTGCCTTGGCTTGGTCCTGGCTTTGTGGGTCTGTCCTGCTTCTCCAGGCTTTGCCACTGCATTGTGCTGCACTCAGTGTGCAATGTGCTAGGAATGTTCTAAAAGATGGTCTTGGGTCTCTGGGAGACTGTCACTTTCAGAGAGACCGTAGGTTGTCTCTCACTACGGGTCTATCCAGATGGCTTTAATTTCAAGGATCAGGGGAGAGAGGTTTTATGGCATGTCATAAAAAAGCAGAACAGCTGTTTTTGAAATTCTTTATGAAATGATGAGATGGATATGCATCGGCGCATGGTTCAGATTATTATTATTTTTTTTTAATCAAAATACTCGAAAAGCTACATGAGGACGGAGAGTCACTGTCTCTTAACGACCAATCTGCACTGCAGACTTAAATAACTTTAGCAGTCATTCTCTGTCCCCGGGAAACCCTGGGAACAGTAGTTCGGAATAGGGGCTTGGACTTTGTCACAGAATTTTCAGCAACTTCACTAAACTACAGTTCCCAGGATCCCTTGGGGAGTATCCATGACTACTTAGAACACAATATGTTTGGAGCCTAGATATGTCCCTTACATGAAACTGAGATCAATAGCGCAAAAAGTATCACCACCTAACTTGATGGTCTCAATTAGATAAATAAATGGGAGCGGTGGCGCAGGCAGTAAACGAAGCCTGCATTCCATCTGACCGAACAGCTCGGCTATTCGAGTTCCACCGCAGCCAGGGTGAGCTCCCGGTCCATGTCCCAGCTCCCGCCCACCCAGCGGTTCGAAAGCCCGAATGGGCGAGTAGATGAATGGGTACCTGCTCTTAAAGCGGGGGGGACACCCTTCCTTCCCTTCGTGGTGGCATGGCGGTGATTGAGGAATGGAGTGACAGCGGCGGCGAAACATGGCAGCGGCAGCAACGGCAGCGAGGTGGGCGGCTCGAGCGGAGATTGGGCCGGCGAAGCACCGCGGCGGGGCAACGCGGCAGGCCGGAGCCAATTGGGACAGAGGTCGGCTGCGGTAGCACGCGCCGTCGTGCACTGTGGGTCCATATCCGGAGGGAGTCTCTGCGACCGAAAGGAAGACCTGCGCCAAAAAACGCCGTCGCCCGGATTGAAGAACCTCCGTAAGAAACAACAACAACTAAGACCTTGTCATGGGTGCCTGATAGGTAGTCCCTTCCCCTCATTGTGTGTGTGGCCCTAGTAAGGTAATGTAATTAATAATTGTACAATGTAAACCGCTCAGAGCCCTTAGGGGGTGAGCGGTCTATAAATTGAACGTTTTTTTAAAAAAAATTGGCTCAACTAACCAGCATTTCTCTAAGCATTTCAGAGGGTTTTTTAACCCCCTCAGCAGGTTCAATAACACTCACTTGCCTGTGTTAATATAGGGCTGCCAAGTGCCAACTCTAGGGTGCAAAATTCCGGGAGATTTAGGGGGTGGTGCCCAGGAAGGGCAGGGTTTAGAAAGGGGAGGGACCTCAGTGTGGCCTAATTCCACCTTCCAAAGGAGCCATTTTCAACAGGGGACAGGCCCTGGGAACCGATGTCTACAGCCTGGAGATTAGTTTCAATTCCAGGTGACTTCCAGTCACCACCTGGAGGATGGCAACCCTGGCCTGAGATCAGAGTTGCCAAACTCCAGGTGGCACCTGGAGATCTCTCGCTATTACAGTCGATCTCCAGGTGACAGAGATCAGTTCTCCTGGAGAAAATGGCTGCTTGGGATGGTGGTCTCTAGGGCATTATACCCTGCCGAGGTCCCTCCCCTCCCCTCCTCAAACCCCGCCCTCCCCAGGCTCCACCCCCAAAATCTCCAGGTATTTCCAAGCCCAGAGCTGGCAACCCTACCTAGGACTGTGATCTTTCCAGAAAGACTGTAGCAAAGATGGTTTGGGAAAGACTGGAGTGGAGCAGGGAAAAATCTGCCAAGCGGATGCTTCATAGGGTTATCAGTCTCCAAGAGGTGGCGGGCGATCCCCCAGAATTACAGCTGGTCCCCCGGTTCCATAGATCCGTTTCCCTGGAGGAAAAGGCAGCTTTGGGAGGTGGACTCGATGTCATTATATCCCACTGAGGCCCCACCCCTCCCCAAACCCCGCCTTCCCCAGGCTCCACCCCCAAATCCCCAGGAATTCCCCGCCCTGAACTTGGAGGACATCTTTGGATACTACAAAACCAAAAGACTGCTCCAGTTCGGACGCCGAGGCAAAGCAAAACAGCCGTGTGGATGCGGCCCGTGTGTTTTATATTTGCCGCCGGCAACCTCAGCCTTAAAAATGGAGCAGGCTGCCCGTTCGGATTAAAGCAGTCAGAAGAAACGCAGCAGCTTTTATCGGGCGGGTGATGTCTCCAGTAATCCAAGCTGCTGTCCCTGAGGCAACCAAAAGCAATGAAGCCCCTGCTGGGCTCTGGACGGTGTCCAGACGAAGAATGGAAGCAGGAATATACATCTGCCGTGGCCTTAAAGAATGCCTTCTACATGTGCTAGAAATAATGTTTCGGCTGCCAAGGAGCAGCGGAAGCTCCAGGGAATAAATATTTCAGTCCTGGACCTTTTTTGGGTGGTTTTTTTTAAAAAATATAAGGTCTCAAAGACTGAAGGGTGTTAACTTGCGGTTCTGGCTAGCTTCATCTCTCTGCTTATGTCCTCCTTCTCTCAAGAGCCCCCTGCCCTTGGCCAAGTGGATGCTGAGGGTCTCTCCACCTCTCCCACCCAGAAGAGCTCCTGGGTTTCCTTGCCTCCATGACGGCTGCAGGGCCTCAGTCGAGGGCTGGGCACATTTCTCACAAGGTGGAATGCGGCCCCCGCTTCGGCCTGTTTCATACAGGCTAGGGTTGCCAAATAGGCCCGGGGGGCGGGGAATCCCCCGCTTCGGAGCCCCGATTTCCGCCCCGGCGGCATCGGGGCCTGGGGGAACCCCGCCCCTGAAGCTGCGTCACCCCACGTTGCTGACGTTGGGGGCGTGGCTGAGCTCGTTGGGGGGGGGGGAACCATCGGCGACGACTCCCGGACCGCAGCGAGGCTCCCCCGCCGCAAGTGGTAAGTAGGGTTGGCAACCCTAATACAGGCCCAGTTTGGATGTCACGTGAAATAGGGGCTAAAATAAGTAGGGTGAGTTTGATCCCCTGCATGGGGTGGGTGGGTGGGTGTTACTCTGCTAACCGAGGTTATGTAGGGTCAGTCGATCCTGCTTCATCTGAAACCATGGCCACAGCTGTTATTTATATTTAATAAAGTCAGGGCTTTTTTGGTAGGAAAAGCCCAGCAGGAACTCATTAGCATAATAGGCCACACCCAACAGCAGAAACTCATTAGCATATTAGGCCACAGCCCTGACAGCACATCTCATTAGCATAGGAGGCCACACCCCCATGTTACCAGAAGTGTGGTCATCCAGCCACGCCCACCTTTTGCTTCTTATTCTGTTGACCTTGTTTGTGGTCAAAACCCAGGGCCTTTTTTTTTGTAGCGGGGACTCCTTTGCATGTTAGGCCACACGCCCCTAATGTAGCCAATTCTAATGCGTCTCTGCTGTTGGGTGTGGCCTATTATGCTAATGAGTTCCTGCTGGGCATGGCCAACTCGAGAGCCAGCCGGAACTCCGTTCCTGTGCGTTCCTGCCCCAAAATAGCCCTGAATAAAGTTGTTACTAACTAATAATAATTGCCAGCTAGGGTTGCCAGGTCTTACCCCTGTCCCAGCGGGGGGATCCTTCCCGGCGCCCGGGAATTAATCAATGTAATATAATAAATAATAGAGTTTTTACCTGAATGCTAGAGCGTCCCCCACGTGATATGCCCAGTGCGATGATGTCACCTCCAGGTGACATCATCGCACAGGGCACAATGGGGCTCTTTGGGGGTGGGGCTCCCCCATTGGCCGGCAGCAGACTGAGGACCCTGAAAGCGGGGAAAACCCCACCCACATCGGGGGGATGGCAACCCTATTGCTGGCCCTGGTTAAGTCTTAACAAAGGATGCCTGTGATGTGCTGGATCCAGCCAGCTTTTTCATTCAGTCTCACCCAATTGCCCTCCTGGCTCAACGCCTGTCCGGGGGACCAGGTAGGCTTGCCAACCTCCAGGTGGGTCCTGGAGATCTCCCAGGATTACTACTGCTCTCCAGATGAAAGATATCACTTGGGCCAGAGAAAATGGCTTCTTTGGGAGGTAGACTCTCTGGCACTGTACCCCACTGAGGTCCCTGTTCTCCCCAAACTCCACCCTCTCTAGGATCCACCTCCAAATCTCCAGAAACTCCCCAGGCCAGAGGTGGCAATCCTAGGACCAGGTCTCCTTCTAGAACCCTGCCCTGGTCCCCCACTGCTGCCCGTGGGAGAAACTGGGCTGAAAAGGTGACATCACGGCGTGGCTGTGACGTCATTTCCAGTCGCATAACTAAGTGATGCCACACGTCATTGGGGCACTCTAGCAATCCCCCAAAACTCTCTGGGAAAATCATAGAATCCAGGGCAGGGGGTTGCTAGATTGTCTTCAGCGACACGTGGTGTCACTTCTGATTATGTGACCGGAAGTGGCATCACGGTGTTGTGTGATGGTGCACGATGCTCAGCTTCATCCACAGAAGCTCCCCTCATCTGTCAGCTCTACCTCTGTCCCACATGGCTTTCATCCATTCAGGTTATCCCCAACAGGGCCTTTTTGGTTGTCGAAAAGGACAGTCTCCTCCTCTTTTAATGAATAGATAAACTGGTTGCATGTAACCCAATGAACAAACACGGCCAACTTGGCTTGCTCCCACTTAGGACGTCACTGTGAGACATCTGGGAACCATGAATGCAGGAGCTCTGAAAAATATAACTCCTCCCCTGCACGTTGAAATGGTCCAGTCCGTTATTTCCCCTCAGCCTCCCGATACCTCAGAACCACCTCATTCTGCTGTCATACTTTGACTAGGCCTAAGAAAGGCCTCATACCCAGAGGTCATTTCGGAGGGATCGCGGGGGATCGCAGTTCCCCCGGGTGAGGTTCGGGGGGCGGGGCACATGACGAAGCCCCGCCCCCTGCTTCCGGCCGCCCCGCTTCCGGCCCTCATTCAGCCAGGAGGAGGCAGGAGAAGAGGGAGGGTAAGTTGCTTCCTCCCTGCCTCTCCCCACCCCTGCCTGCCTGGGGCCAGGGAGGGCCTTCGCGGGGCTTCCTTGCACTCCCGCCGGCCGGGACCGTTGGGGGCGGGGTGTGTGGCCTTATGACACACTTCCGGTGATGTCAGGGGGTGTGGCATATGCTAGTGAGTTATGCTAATGAGTTCCCCTAGCTCTTTTTCTACGAAACGACCCCTGCTCATACCACTTGTGTGGGCCTCATTGGAAACCCCACTGAGCTTTTCTTCTTCTTCAGCACTATTATGTATTCCTGTGTAAATGTATGCAGATGTAATCCATTAAGTCATTAGCTTTATTAACTAAGATTTCCTCAATCTGATGACAGCCTTAATCCCCCCCCCCTTTTTCTGCTATCATTAGAATTGTCTGCCAGTGTACGCAGAATGTGTTCCCACCACTATTCAGGCTGTGATCTTAAACACACTTATTTAAGAATACAAGTTCCATTGAACTTAGTTGGACTTAAATTCTAAGGCACACTCCTAGGACTGTGTGGGGTGTAACCACAGCCCTCCCCAGCACATCTTGCTGACATCCATGGTCAGAGACGTCTAAGGATGCTGTTTTGTGGCAGACTAGAGCTGCCAGACTCCCAGTCCGGGCAGGAGTTCCCCCAATTTTGGGGGCTAGCCTCACCCCCAAACAGGGATGTTGTGCAGCGATGATCTGCTTTTGGGGCAAAACTCTATCGTTTTAAGCCAAAAAACCTCATAGAGTTTTGCCCCAAATGCAAAGCATTGCCGTGCAACATTCCCGACGTAATGACATCACTTCCACATGACATCATCTTGTCAGGGATGCCATGCGATGTCCCCACCCACCACAGAATGCCCCCCCAAATCCCCCTCCCACAGGCTTGCCAAGTCCCCCCCCCCCAGGGGGCGGGGAAACCCCCGCCCCAGAGGCCAGTTCCCCGCTGCCGGTGGATCGGGCCCCGGGGGGAACCCCGCCCCCACGTGCACGTCACCAGAAAATGACATGACCCCGCCGGGCACACTG